TTTGGTCTTTTTGCCTCTGCCTCCCAAGTGCTGGGCTTGAAGACCTATGCCACCATACCCGGCATTAAGAATGAATTCTTTTTTGTCTTATTTTGAGATAGAGTTTCACTGTGTAGCCCCAAATGGCTTGGAACTCATGCCTTCCTCACCCCCCATCCTCCTGCCTCTGCCTCCCAAGTGCTGGGCTTAAAGACCTATTCCACCACACCTGGCATTAAGAATGAATTCTTTTTTGTCTTATTTTGAGATAGAGTTTCACTGTGTAGCCCCAAATGGCTTGGAAGTCATGCCTTCCTCACCCTCCATCCCCCCTCCCCAGCCTCCCTAGTGCTGGAATTATCTTTACTACCATACTTCATAGGATTAGCTTTGTGGGGGGTGTAGTGCCCATTGTATGTGTTTATGTGTATATGCCTGTGTTTGTGCTAGTACACATGGATATTTGTGTGTGTTTGCACGTGTGTGCATGTGTATGTGTGTGTATCTGTGTCTGCGTGCATGTGATGGCCAGAGATTAATGTCAGGTATCTTCCTCAATTGCTCTCTACTTTGTTTTTTGAGAGAGGGTTTCTCAAAGGGACCTGAAGCTCACCATTTGCTTAGACTGGCTGGCCAGCAAGCCCTAGGAACCTGCCTGTCCCCACCTCCCAGCATTGAGATTGCAGGCATGCACCACCGTGCTGGGCTTTTTGCGTGGGTGCTGCACTTCCAAAATCAGGTCCTCCTGCTTGTTGTACAGCAAGCACTGTACTGACTAAGCTCTCTCCCCAGCCCCATGCTAGCTTTTTTGTTGGGGATTTTAGGGAGCTCATGAGCTCAAGGAACAAAATCAGAGTAGGTTTGAGGTTTGAGGGCTATAACACTGAGAAGGCTTGGTAAAAGCATGTGAACTGAGTGAAAGAAATGTTTAAGAATCATTCCTATCAGTTTGTCATGCTTAGAGAAAAAGGAACACTGTTTCTCTTATGAGAGAAAGAAAAAAATTGCCTTTATTTACCAGATTGATGTTGCACAATAGGAAATACTCGGTGTATATTGATGCAGCACCCTGTCTTTTTATAAAAAACTGATACATTTAACAAACCCAGAGTTAGTGCTAATGATAATATGTACTTGTGCAAAGCACTCATTTTACTAAACTATCTTTTTTTTTTTGTTGGCAATGTGTGTCTTGTGCATCTGATAAATACTGTATGTTTTTGTGAAATAATTGAAAATAAAGGCATTATGGTGTGTGTATGCACACTTATGTGTATTTATCTAGTTTTATGCTACTGTTCCTAAATTTTTTTAAATTGATTTTTTTTATTTTGTGTATGAGTATATTGTCTGCATGTATGTGAGTGCACCCATGTCGTGCAGTGCCATGGAGGTCAGAAGAGGGCTTCGGATTCCCCTGGAACTGGCGTTAAGGACATTTTGTAGCCTCTGTGTGGGTGCTGGGAATCAAACCCCGGTCCTCTGCAAGAGCAGTCAGTGCTCTTAACCACTGAGCCATCTCTCCAGCCCCTGTTCCTAAATTTTAATTATTTTTTTATAGTTTGCCAGTTCATTTTTATTTACTTGGTAATTGTAAAACTAATATATGTCAGAATTTTACTGATCTTCAGTTGTTAGTATCTTTTCAAAGAAAAAGGTGTCATTGAATATTTAGAAAGGTAACGGAAATAAGCTTAGTGAGTTCTTTTTTGTTTTTGGTCTTTTTGAGACAGGGTCTCCCTGTAGCTCCAGCTGACCTGGAACTCACTGTGTAGACCAGACTGGCCTTGAACTCACAAGGATTGGCCTGCCTCTGCCTCCTGAGTGCCAGGATTAAAGGCGTGTACCACCATGCCCCTCCACTTAGTAAGTTTTTAAGAAAATTCTATATAATGTTGTAAGCAAAGTTTATAATATCTTTCTGAACTTAGTTTTCTTTTTCATTTGAGGGGGCTGGAGAAATGGGTCATCAGTTAAGAGAACTGTTCTTGCAGAGGACTGGATTCAGTTCCCAGCACCCACATGGTGGTTAACAACTGTTATTTGAGACAGGGTCTTACTATGTAGCATTGACTAGTCTGTAACTAGTTATATAGACCAGGTTGGCCTGGAACTCACAGAGCTCCGTTTGCCTCTGCCTTCCAAGTACTGGGATTAGTCATGTGCCACCATCCCCTTCCCTGAACTTAGTTTTTTCAACTTTAAAATTACTGAACAGATGCTATGCATATTGTAGTGGTTAAATTATTATAAAACAAAACAAAACGAAAAAAGAAACTAAAGCTAACAAAGAATAAAACACTTGAATTTCTGAACAAAGTATTTAAACATTAACTGTTACTGTTTTACTAATGCCCTGCTTTCTTTAAAAAATTAAGTTTAGGTTGCTTACAAGTATAAACATTCACTAAAGTGAAAATAGAGTTCAGTCATGGTGAAGAGAAAAATCAGAGTAGCATGTGGTTCCAGTGAGGGTTCACACTCAGACACTCATTCCCAGGATGCTACACTGTGAGAAAGGAAACTCAGCCTTGAACCCAAGCATTCAGAAACAAAAAGGACCCAGTCATAACAGCTTTCCCAAAGTGCTTTATAAGATTATCATGGTCAAACAAGTTTAGGGATGAGTGATGTTATACATCCTTATAGAGCAGCTGTATTCACATCAACAGTTCAAAGGTTCTGGAAAATTCTGTGGTTAAAAAATATCAACTGAGGATAGGCTGTATATGTCTGTAATCCCAGCACTTGGTTAGTCGAGATAGGTACATCATAAGTTTGAGGCCAGCCTGGGCTACACAGTGAGATGTGCCTCAAAACAAAACATAAAACAGCAAAACAAACAAAATATTATCAGTGAAACCAATGGCTACACAGCTTTCACTGTTTTTCATGCACATTTGCTGCTCCATCCTCACCCTTACCCCCCATCCTCCTTTTCCCTTTCACCAAATACCTATCAACATTTCCCACTTTGGGAATTAGTGAGATACTGCTCTTTAGCTAAAATCAAGTATGTTTGTTTAGTGCAGCAGCATGAGGTTTGACAAGTTTCCCTTTTGGATCCTTGAAAGGAGATTATATATGTAGCACTGTGGGCCTCATTTCCCAAGAAATGTCACAGTATACACAGTAAATTCAGATGGCTGCTGTCATATCCTTTCCTTTATTATCACCTGAATCTTAGCTTTTAAATTGCATACAAATTGTCTTACAGAAATTCAAAGGTTTTAATTTTTAATTCCCCACATTATAGATTCAGTTCTTTCTCTTGCTAGTGAAAATCTTTACATTCTTTGTTTTGTGGTTTATATCTCATCTTGTTCTGAAAAGAAATTGAAGGGCAAAAACTGGAGATGAGCAGGAAATACAATGGAGAATGTTTAATTGCCTAACTTTGGCTAGTTGAGGGACCTGCTAGCATTATAGTCAGACACCATAAGGGAGCAGGATGTGGATCTGCAGATAATGTGTGATGGCTGACTCCCAAGGAATGATTGTGGCTGAGGGGCCATTGGGCTATTATTTTTGAGTAAAAGTGCAGGGAGGAGCATGGGTCTAAATGACCGTCATGAACAGAAAGCAGCACTGTAGAAAGCATCTCCCTCCGCAAACAAAGGAAAGTTCATACTGTGGAAAGGGAACACATAAGAACAGATCAATTTTTCCTCCAGCTTTGCCTGTTCAGATGCAGCAATCATTTAGTAAGGTCATCTTCAAATCTGTATAGCAGCTTTTCCAAGATGTCTTTCCCAGTCTTTAATCTTGTCTTCCATTTAGCATTTTAAACACGTATCTATGATTGAGCTGGGTGCTTTCAAATATTACATAAAGGAAAAATTGGTTCAAAATGACCTAATATATTGTGGTTGGTGTTCAGCGGAAATGAATGCATAATTAATTTTCATTTAAGTTTAATCTAAACGTGATGGAAATTTATTCTTCTTTTCAGGCAAGAGTGCAGCATTGCATCTGCTCTGTAGCCAGTGACCACTCAGTAGGACTTTTAAGTTTACGAGAGAAAAAATGCATCATGTTGGCATCTCGACACCTGTTCCCTATTCAGGTGATCAAGTGGAGGCCTTCTGATGATTACCTGGTGGTGGGATGCTCAGATGGCTCTGTGTATGTCTGGCAAATGGACACTGGTAAGAATAAATGTGGAGAAAGAATAGAAATTAAATGAGTATATTTGACTTCCTTTAAAGTAGCCTTTTCTATGAGGAAAAAAAGCCTATAAATGTAAAAGGTTGCTATTTGTATTTCCTATATGACTTTTTCCTAATGTTATCATTATTCACAAAGACATAGTAAATATTTTCTTACTTGTGTTATGTCAGATATTTGTGTACTTCAACAGTCCTTAAATACATGCAATCGAGGGTAATATACAAGTGAGGATAAATATACAGTGCTTTCTATATTATTTATGAGGTAAATTGCCAGCAAGAGAAAGGAGGCATCTTTGTCTCATATTTCAGAAACAATGAGAAAAGGTAAAATCCTCTTTAATTTGAACAGTAGAGAGGTGATGCAAATACAAATAATTGTAGGAGGCAAATTGAAATGGAGGTTTCAGGATATAGAGACAACATGTAAATATTTAAGTTTCAATTTTATGAGCGGGAATAATATAGAATAAGTAATAGCTTAGCTTCAGAGCACACACACTTATAAGTGTTCATATACAGATAATGTGATTTTCCCTAGGAATATTTAAGCATATAACTGTTTTTAGCCTAGGAGTTTGGGGAAGTATATTTGATTCTACTTTTACAATCTTAAGTAATCATCTGTTAATGATTAAAACCTTTCTTTTGATAAATAGCTTACCATAAAATGATTCTACTAAATGATTTTGTTTTTTTTACCTTCTGTTTGTTTTAACTAGTTCTTAAAATCAGATTGTATATGTATTTCTGCCTGTACTGTTGTAGGAATTCTTTTCAAGCCCTTTGGAAGTAAGTAGATATAATCTTCAGTAATCTTCTGTATGTCACCCTTGATTTAACTGGCAGATCATAGGCAATCTTGACAAGAGGAAGCTTTCTTAAAATCTGGCAGACTTCTTTTGCATTTAATTTCATATTCTTTTTTCTTGTGTAAGAGAGATTGATGCTTTCTGTTATATTTTAAGAGCACTGGAGATTAAAAGAGAAGAGTCTGAAATCACACTGCTCAAAAAATAGACATATTCCCATTGTGACATATTTCTTTCTGATTTATTTCTGGATTTTTTTTTTTTTTTTAAAGAATCACTGAGACTGGGGAGATAGGTCAGCAATTAAAAGCCTTTGATGCCCTTACAGGGGACCCAAGTGTGGTACCCAGCATCCACATTGATTGGGGGCTGGGTAGGCTCACAACCATCTGTAACTCCATTTCCAGGGGATCCAGCAACCTCTTCTGATCTCCGTGGGCACCTATACTCACCTGCACAAACAAAACCCCCACACAAAGAGTACCCATACAAGTAATTTTTTAAAAAATCTTTAGAATGAAGGGTTTATTTAACAAAAAAGAATTGCTGTCATGTTACATATGAAACGTTGCATTTTATTTTTGTATATTTATTTATTTTTTCTGTCTGTTGGCTAACAGGTATTTTATTTTATTTTATTTTATTTTATTTTTTTGAGCTGAGAACCAAAGCGCTTGCTAGGCAAGCACTCTACCACTGAGCTAAATCCCCAACCCCATTAATAGTGTTTTGATAGTTTGGTTCCTCACAAACTAAAGACAGAATTTGTATTTACTTTACTTTTATTATTATTATTGTATGTATCTAATCTGTATGTGTGAGTGTGGCATTCACATGCTACCATGTATGTGACGACCAGAGGACAAGTTTTAGGAGTGGGTCCTCCTTCCACCATGGGTCCCTGGGATTGGACACAGGCTGTCAGACTTGTGCAGTAGGCACTCTTCCCCTCTAAGCCATCTAGCCAGCCTATAGAGGTGTGGTGGTGCAGGCCTTTATTCCCAGGACTCGGGAGGCAGAGGCAGGCGGATCTCTGTGAGTTCAAGGCCAGCCTGGCCTACATAGTGTGTGTATTTTTTCTTAGTGTTAAACATGCTGCTTGTTACCTTGTTGATTTTGGTAGTTTGACTTACCTATACTCAGAAATATTTTCTTGGGATTTAGTATTTAAGTTTTTATAGCAGTAATGGTTTTTTTAAAATTACTGCATTAAAATACTGTAAATATTAAGTTATTTTATTCATGTTAAGAATTTTTATTACAGTTATCTTTTTATTTATTTGTGTGTGTGCACACACATGCATGTGCCACTGAATGTGTGTTGTTCAGAGGATGACTTGTGGGAGTTTATTCTCTTTCCACCAAGTGGCTCCTTGCCCACTGAGTTATCTCTCTGGACCCTGATTTTTCTTAAATAGAAATGTGTGATAAAATTGTTCTGAACTATTTGTAACGAAATAAATTGTATACAGATAGCATTGCTTTCTTGAAATTTTTAGATGTCCAAACATGATACGCCAAGTATTTCAGATACTTTCATTTGTAAGTAATGTATAATAAAATATGAAATCCTGTACAAATGAGACCCCTCTGAGAAACAAAGTACCTTTTCTAGTAGTTTTTCTAAAAGTAAGTGGTAAGTAACTGCTTTGTGTAGAGGAACAGGAGGAGTTACTTATATAATTGATTTAATATCATTCACCCCGAATTACTGTAAACACAGTGTGTAATGTGGGAATTGTACAGTTATCCTCTGAACTTCAGGAGGACTTAGGGAAGCATTCAGTGAATTTGATGCTCTTAAATCAAGATGAAAATAGAGAAGTCAAGTTTATTTTGAGTTTCAACCATGATGGAGGTTTATGCTCTTTTTCTCCACTTGCTATTCAAGCTGTAGCTAGTGATGTGAAGTCCCTAGTTAGTCAGGAAGGAAAGTCCTGAATGTATTGACATTATTTATTTATTAAATTTATTTATTTATTTTATAAATAAAAAATGAAGCTAGAAAAATCAGATTCAGGCAGGATTTGACGTATGAAATGTATTTAAACTCTGAGGACACAGAGATTGGGAATCTGCTTTCCCAGTGATGGCATCTCAAACCTGCTCCTACATAGTGGGCAGTTTTCTGTTTGCTTAAAAATCAGTTATATTGGTTGTGTTTAGCATAAACACACTAAAATGTCTTTCTTATACCTTATGTGTCATTCTTTAGTTATTTTCCTTTCAAATGGGTAGTTTCTGTTTTCTCTTTTTATTTGCTAATGACATGAATTTGAAGCTAGTAATAATAGATGTAATTGAAGAACTGCAAAGTCCAAAATCTTTTGTTTTCTTATGATAACATCTTCATTACACATACGTGCAATTTTTTAGCAATGTAGAAACTATGAAATTATTCTTCCATAGACAGACACTAAAACAAGATTTAGCCCGATAAACCTTTCAGTTTCTGCTTACTAAGTTGTTAAATTGAGCCACCCACCTAGAGGCTTCTCTCTGGAGCTGTTTCTGTGTTTCAGGAACCAATAGTGTCACCTGTACCTAATATTCCTATATCATCTGATATTTACAAAAGGTATGTCATTCCCACAGACCTTTCACCAGGCCCAAACTCTCTCTGTCTGGCAAGTAGTAGCATACTCTTACTTACTGAATGATTGAATGATGTTACAAATTCTCGTATAACCAAGCCTAAACAACATTCTTTTTTTTTTTTGGAGACAGAGTCTCCCTGTAGCCCCAGCTGTCCTGGAACTCACTATGGAGACCAGGCTGGCCTCAAACTCACAGAGATCTGCCTGTCTCTGCCTCCCGAGTGTTGGGATTAAAGGCGTGCGCCAACATTCCCAGCATCATTCTCTCTTTTTTTTAAAAAAATAATTATTTTTATTTTATGTCTATGAGTATAATACCTACATGTAGGTAGATGCATCTGTGTGGTGTAGTGCCCATGGAGGTCAGAAGAGGGTGTCAGATCCCCTAGAACTGTAGATACAGATGGTTGTTAGCTGCCATGTAGGTACTGGGAATTGAACCCATGTCCTCTACAAGAGCAGCTAGTGCTCTTAACCACTGAGCCATCTCTCCAGCCCACAACATTCTTATTTTTTTCCTTCTTCTTTTTTGAGACAGGATCTCCCTGTAGCCCCAGCTGGCCTGGAACTCTGTATGTAGACCAGGCTGTCCTTGAATTCACAGAGATCCACCTGTCTCTGCCTCCTGAGTGCTGGGACTGAAGGTGTGTGCCACCACTCCAGGCTTGATTTTAAGTTTTAATGTTATAGTATGTTGGCCTTACATCATGGACTTTTCTGAGTCCTATACATTTTTCTTTTCCTACTATTAGAAGCATAGCATAGGGTACTGGTTAAGCAAAGAATGATCAGGCAAAGAAACTTACTTGACTAAAACTGATAGAATCCAGTACAATGAAGAAGTTCCTTTTTTCACTTTGATGATTGGCTCTAGAGTATGTTCAAAGAGTAGATATATGCCTGCCTGACTACTTCTTCACAGCTTCCATAGCCTACTTGTGACTAAGCCTTTCCCAGAAGGTCTGCCATCCACCTTTCCCATAAGGTCTGTTGTCTTCCTTCCCCTGGCTCTGTGCTGGCCTGTGTTCCTCTGAACATCTCTCTGACACCAGTACTGTGTCTTCATGCATTTTCTTCTGAATTTTTCTGGATCATCAAACCCCTGTGCCTAGACTTATTTTGTTTTTACCTCTTTTTTTTGTTGTTTTGCTTTCTGGGTAGTGTGTCACTATGTGGTTCAGGTTGGCCTTGAACTTGTACTCCTTGCCTCCTGTGTGCTGGGTATACAGGCATGTACCACCACATCCAGCTTTACCTCTTTCTTGTGAGCTTACACTCTTGACCCTCTCAGATGCAAACATATTGCTGTGGTCCATTGCAGGCCTGTTTCTTGCCACCACACCCTCCATCCAACATGATTACCCATCTTTGCTTGTTCCCATGTAATCACTGGAGTCAAGTCCTCAAAAAGGAGAAGGATAAACTTGATACAAGAAAGCAAATTTAGCTACTTGTTTCTTTGTTTGTTGTATAGTATCATTTGTTTACTACGGATTGTATTTTGGGTAAGGAGTCACTTTTAACCTTTTCCATTGTAACCATAAACCATATTTAATACAGAATTAAAGGCTAAAAGAGTAAATGTGTATTAAATTCACTTGTATTAAACTCTAATATCTTAAAGAATAATTTGTCCATTTTCAAATTTTGTATTAATTCACTTAATACAACCATGCTTTTATATGCTTTCAAAAGCTGCAATACAGATTTATAATAAAATCATCAATATATTGCACAGCTTCATGCAGAAAAATAGGAAAGTTTTTACTAATTTAACCATTTTTTTTCTTAGAACTGTAGAATCTCTTCTTTCCCTTTTGTATTAGTTACTTTTTTGTTGCTGTGTTAGAAACACTGAACAAAGCAACTTATAGAAGGAAGAGTTTATTTGAGCTTGTGGTTCCAAGAGAATTACAGTCCATCCTGGTGGGGAGGTATGGCAGCAGAGGTGGCTAGAGGGGGAGCAGAGGCTAAGCATCACATCTTCAGGCAGGCACAGTAAACAAGAGAATGACTTGAGGTCTGGCAAGGCTTAAGAACTCTTTAAGCCCACCCCCAGTGACGTGCTTCCTCCAGCATGGCCACACCTTCTAAGACCTCCCAAAACAGTACCACCAACTGGGGACAAAATGTCCAAATACTTGGAGCCTATGGGGGGGCATTCTCATTGAAACCACTACACCTTTATTTATGTAAATTGTTCTCTAGATATTTTTAGTTAAAAATGCTTTGTAGGTTTCATTTTATTCCGTGTTAATACAAAGCTGAACTTCATTTTATTGTTGTCTTTGTAGCTGGACAACATTCCTTTGAAATGTATGTGTATATGATACAGATATGTAAAGGTGTTTAAGACTTTTCTATATTTATTTCTACTACATTTAAGATTAATAACTCTGTACACACATATTCCTGTGTAATGTGATTATTTAAATAAATCTTA